TTACCGGCTCTACAGAAGCTTGTCGCACAATTGCAGCCCCCTGGTATCCTGAGGTTAATGGTGATGGTGGCGATCTTGCAGCCTTGCGGTTTGTGGTGGAAGCGAGATGAGGACTGAGGCCAAACTTGGTGGTTGGGGTTCATTGGTGGACCCTCGCCAAGGTTTCGGAAAGAAGGATGAGACGGTGCCGAAGCTTTGGAGACGTCTGCTGCCTCATCGGTCCTTTCAGACACAACACAACATCGCTATACGCGCGAATATTAAACATACAGCGGTAGGAAGCTCACTTACCCGTCGCAGCACGATTCGAGATCCCGTGAAAACTTCGGACTACCGATTCGAAAGCTCGCAGCCAGTGTGAGCGCAAGGCCTATGACGCATCGATAAGCGGGCTTAAACACGACTAAGCCTGATCATCAGCATGGTACATGCCTTCAGACGAAAGCGTTCTGGACCGAGGTTTGGTAATCTTGGTTTGCGGTGTTTCCGACTCAAAAAAATCGTAACTTTGGTATGCTGAAGGAGCTATTGTAGAGGCATCTTCAAAGGCGAAAGGACATCGTGGAAGTGCTATGCCCAGCATTGGTATCACTTCGCACTACATGCATGCGAGGGTGTAGTCGGTAAGTGGCCATTCCGACTCACAGTCGCCCTCATCACCCACGTTCAATAGATCGACACATATCACATACCCTGCGGTGGAGGTACTGTTCATCTCGAAGGCTTCCTCGGGTATTCTGCGCACACACCTAGTTCTTCGTGGCTTCCATGGAAACTAGCATGAAGCTCGAACTAATATCATTGCAGATATAGTCGCCTGCGTCAGACGTAACAAGTCTCAGAAACCTGACTCGACGTATGAGAGATCGATCCCATCGCTAAGCCACATGCGAGCGAAAGTCGAGAGTTGCTCTCGAACATGTCTTACCTTTTTAAGTCGCCCCTGGTTTGATCTCCGCAAAATCAGATTTGACAAAGCCTCTTGCGAGATGCATGCCGTAGCATCCGGAACTTTGTCTGAGCGCTCGGCCTCCATCACTACTGTCACATTTTGTCTTGTATAAGCCACCTGAAGTCGCTGTACGTGCGGAATGACTGATCATTCACGTCCACCTTAACGACCACACTATTCTGACTCGTCGTCACGCCCTCCGCGCCCGACTGTCTGCAACCTCAAACCATATCCATCAACCCGAAACCTTTCGTCGATTAGCCGCCACCGTACGCTTCTCAGGCGTCTCACAGCACAGCACAGCACAACACAACACAACAAATCTAGGCTCGTCAAGCATACACAGCATGGCTAAGTCGAAGCCCCTGGTCATTTCTGGCCCCATGGATGCGAAGCATGTAGGCGGCATCAACGTAATGGGCGGCATGCAGCCCTCGATGCTTGACAGCTACTTCAACAAGATAGTGCTGGAGCCAGACGAGACACCGTCCCACACATACACAGCCACAGGCAAGATCGAGGTTCCAAAGAGATCAGATACTTTTGCCGGTACCATACGAAGGCCCAGTCTATCGCTCAAAAGAAGCCTATCAAAGCTGAGGAGGAAGTCGATCTCACATGTGTCTCAAGACCACAGCCCCACTGAATCCAAAAGCAGGGATACCAGGCCCATTGTAAGATCCGAAAGTGTGAAGACAAAGGACAGTGCAAGGTCGCTGAGTATGCAATCGAGCCTGTCTCGTCTGCGACAACGCGTAGGCTTGGATAGAGAGCTACACGATGTCACTCCTGAACATAAGCCAACAACCAAAGAGACAACCATTGCACCAGAACCAATAAAGAAGGACTATACTCCATTGCAAGTGAGGAAACCATTATCGAGAGGCACGTCTCATGCTTCCACTATGCATTCAGAACGGGAGCGACGCACTGCGAACAACTCAGTACAGCGCAATACATCGTCCAGTCAGCGGGACTTGTCGACCCCACAGCGAATACGTCCAGCCGTTTCTCACCAACCTGTAGCTCAGTCGTTAATATCAAACCGTCCGGCACGACCCAAGCGCGCAGACTCCGGTACAGCTATTGCTCTGGACAATGTGCCGCCCATGGAGAGACCCCTGCCTTTCCAAGATATCATGGCCGTGAAAAGCTTCTCCGAGCGTATGGAGTTGTATAAGAAAACGCGCGAATATTGGGCATATGCTGATCATGGGTTGATCGAGTGGACTGGTCGTGCTAGCGGACCAAAATATGCTCCTAGGAGGACTCAAGAACATGCTTGATTGATGCTCAGTGGAGTCGGCGAACGTCTCTAATGTAGGGCTACTTTTGTGTCTTGTGCTCTTTGTTTGTTGCGATATACCCATTCACTTTCCTAAGCAGCTTCACGCGCTGGTCGCTTCCTTCTGGCTGCTTCTATCTAATTACATAGATCTCTTTAATATTACGCGAAGATCACCGTTGTCGTCATCGTAATGGGTGAAAGAACATCAATTGAGGCGTTGAATCGTGCAATAACCACCTATTTGCATGTACAATCGCCATTTCACGCGCCCTCCCGGCCTAGCTCCTATACATAAAATCAGCACCTACAGTTCCTAAAACTCCCACTCGCCCGGACCCCAACACCGCCTCACCTGCACGACCCCAATCGCAACTCCTCCATGTGCTATGATGGTAGTGAAGACTGGGTTTGATGATTACTTGTTTCCGCTGAAGCTGGAACACCTCCGAGTTCTAGCTTTGTAAACATCATTCCTCCCAAGAACAGTCGTGAGATTCTGCGTTAAGGCAAAGACGTTGCAGATGCATGTGTGCGCGACAAAACCTCGGTGTAATCCGAGGCGTCATCTTCAGCCTTCCCGGGCGCTAGCCAGTGCACTAAGCTCGGATGAAGAAGGTGGGACGGCAGAAACCAAGCTTTTCGCGTGGCCTTGTCAACGGGCTTGGACGAGGCTTATCTTCCCTTCCAATGAGTGTTGCACGTGAGGAGAAGCACTTCTTATCATGGCTCTACTTCCGTGTGCGGCGGAAATTGAGTGGCGCATTTGCGGGCGGATTTCAGTACATCAACTCACGCGCACTCGGCTGAACAATCATTTCTGCATCTTCCTTCGAGCGTCACAATCATGTTAGGATTGACACTGGCAGCAATTGCTTTCTTGGCGGCTACTAGCAGTGCGTGTGAGGGAGATGACAGCTGCTATGGCCCTTTGCGAGATGATGTAGTTCTCACGCGGAACGTTCGCCGAATGCAGCCGGACGCCCAAAACACGACAACAAGTCCAAAGGCACCACTGGAATGGGGACAGATCAATTTCCTTCACACGACTGATACTCATGGCTGGCTTGAAGGCCATATCAAGGAACAGAATTATGGGGCTGACTGGGGTGACTACGTGAGCTTCACGAAGCACATGAAGCAGAAAGCGAAGAATCTTGGTGTAGACCTTCTTTTGGTGGACACTGGTGTAAGATCGCAATGTGTATCGTAATTGCAAGCCATGTTAATTTAAATAGGATTTGCACGATGGTGCTGGACTGAGTGATGCCACGACACCCAACGGTAACATCTCAAACGCGATTTTTGAAAACTTGGATTACGATCTCTTGACCATCGGTAACCACGAGCTTTATGTGACCGAAATCGCATACGAGACATTCAGCAACTTCTCGAAAGTCTATGGTGACAAGTATCTCACAAGCAATGTGCAAATCCTCAACCCTGCTACCAAGCAATTCGAGTATATTGGAGCGAAGTATCGCTACTTTACCACGGAACAAGGTAAGCTTCGTCCGACTGAATAGGAGCTACGCTGATATCCGCGAAGGCCTTCGCGTCATGGCATTTGGTGTACTGTTTGACTTCACTGGTAACAGCAACGTGTCCAAGGTCATCAAGGCGGCAGACATGGTCAAGCAGCCATGGTTCCAAGCAGCCGTCAACTACACGAAGCCAATTGATCTCTTCGTTCTCGCCGGCCACAACCCAGTGCGAACAACTGTATCTAGCAGCACCTTTGGCACTGTCTTCAGCGCAATCCGTAAGGTGCGGCCAGACATTCCGATTCAAGCTTTCGGCGGCCATACGCATATCCGGGACTTTACCGTGTACGACAACAAGGCAACTGGTCTTGAATCAGGCCGCTACTGCGAAACACTCGGATGGGTGTCTATTTCTGGCATCAAGTCTTCTACATGCAAGGCTCCGCACAATCCGAAAGGCGTCCCGAACCCAACACGCAGTGCAGTACCTCCACCAAGCAAGGGCACAGCTTCGGCAAGTGTGCATGTTCCCACCTCTACTACACCATCCAGCTTGCGTTACGCGCGACGATACCTCGACTGGAATCGAGCGACCTTTACTTACCATGCTGAGGAAAGCCAGCGCTACACCAAGTTCGACTCTAGAAAAGGCGTTAGCGTTACTTCAGAGATCACCTCTGCTCGCAGCAAGCTCAATCTTACGCAACTCTACGGATGCGCACCCGCGACCTATTGCCAGTACTGCAAGCCATTTCTCGCTGAAGGAAACATCTTCAAGCTGTTGCAGACCGCCCTATCCACGGTCGTAGTGAACGAGACCCGTAAAAACGAGGCTCGCCTGATCATCATCAACACCGGCTCCGTCCGCTTCGACCTCGCCAAAGGACCGTTCACATACGACGATTCCTTCATCGTCTCGCCATTTGCGGATTCGTTCCAGTTCATTCCCGACGTTCCATACGAGCAGGCTTCGAAGGTGATCGATATCCTCAACGCCGGACCGTTCCAGAAGAAGAAGCGCGATCTTAGTGGCGCGGACTTCAACTTTACTCCGTTACTGGCTGATCGCGACACTTGCATCGATCCGCCGCTCACGCATCGGTATGATGGTATCACGAGGCGCTCGAAGCAGGGTGGACGTCTTATTCGACAACAGTCTACTGCTCCTACTCCGGGATACACAACGACGGATGACTTTGGAAGCGATGGCGATGATACCGTTCATTCGAAGATCCCAAATTACAGCCAGCCAAACGACCTGCAAGCCAACGCTTCATTTCCTATTGATGGCTCGATGCCAAAGACTGTAGATTTGATCTTCTTGGATTTCATTGCGAGCTACATCGTGGACGCGCTTAATACTCCTGACGTTGGTGGAAAGTTCTCGCTCAGTCAGGTGTCTTACTATATCGATAAGAGCTTCACGACCAACAGCTATTTGCCGGCATACGCGAAAGTTGCTTGGCAGGCAAATGTACCGAATTGCCCTGTTGGAGCAGGTATCGGTAGCTCTTGAACAGATTGCGGTCAGATAGACTCCAACGTACAATATTAATAACAAAAACATCACGCAGTACTCGTCTTCAAGCTCATTGCCACCAGGCAGCGGCAAACTTCGTGTCCGCTCTTACACATACGCGAAGCAATCTAATAGCCTTTAGCAGCGCACTAATAAGTTTATAAAGATGCTTAGACACATTCAGTGTTGTGAGATATCCTTTCTAGTTTAGTTGAAGTTTTTAAACACATCTAGGCTACCTCTTCACCCTTTTCGTTGGGTGAAGGGGACATGAATTTTGCCAGAACCTGGTGTTCCTGAATAGAAAGACCGAATTATCTAGGTTCGCAGATTAACCGTACTTGAGTGGCGTCTCTAATACGCAACAGCAGCTGGAAATCGCAGTCATTGAGCACCTTATGAACACGCGTCCGAGCTTGCTCCTCAGTCTCACCAAGCTCCCGCTGAATCCTTAATCGATGCCGACGCATGATCAAAGCTAAAACTGCAACGAACTCGACTTGCGCGAACTTGACGCCCGGGCAATTCTGTGGGCCATCCGACCAAGGAAGGAAAGTGTCACGTGGAGGAGTAATGAGCACTTCTTCGCCACTTTCAGTCGTTACCCATCGATCGGGCTTCCATTCTAATGGATCTGGCCAGTATTGCGGGTGGGTCTGGATTGCGACGACATTGGGGTATGTGTTGGTGTTTGCTGGTACAACGATCGTGCGATCTCCAATCTGGAGTCGCTGGGGCTCGGTATTTGGTATGTCTGGGAAGGGATAATATAGGTGGGAATCAATCGGAGCGTGCTCCTAGGCTGAAGTTTTTTGTTAAGTAGTTATCCAAAAAATGGAACAGAAGTAGCTCACCAAGACAGCGCGACATCTTAGTAGCTTCGGGAACAATTGACTATAGTCCCAATCTTCCGTGTCGGGAGTCACAACGCAGATCTCTTCAGCAAGCCAGTCCTGTACTTTCGGCGACGTTGCGAGCAAAAGTATGCTGAATGCAAATGTATTGGCTGTAGTATCGTGTCCAGCGAAGTTGACGAGGAACATGTTACCATATACCTCTTCTATGGAGAGTCCCTGAATTTGAGAGCCATCAGTCTTGGTTTCGTGTGTGTTTGCAGCTCGGACAAAAGATGTCATCAGACTTCCTGCACCTTGAGTGCCCTGCTCAAATGCTGTCATCTCCTCCTCAAGCATCTGCTCCATGTGATGTTGAAAATCATCTGCAGCTTTGCCAACGCGCTGTAATGACTTTGGGACGAGCGGATGAGACAAGAATCGGCGTGGGAGCAACACGAGGACAATAATGTTGTCCAGCACCGTTGCAAGAGCATCGCGGTAGGATGATGCTGTATCTAATGACGCGGCAGCTCCACTTGATGATTTAAAGTCAAATGAGCGTCGGAATCCGGTCGCCGCGAGGACATTGAGAGACAGTATTCGTGTATCTTGAGCGACACTAATTATGCCGTCGGCAGCGGCGGTAGATGTAGTCCACGATGCCACCATCTGCTTTGCTTGGCTCAACGACTCGCTCCAAACAAACTTCATGATGCTTTCATTGAACGGTGCGGCAAGGGCTTTCCGATGTCTCGGCCAGTCCTTTAGGTCTGTCGAAGCGACACAAGGACCGTATACTTCAAGGAGTTCTGCAACAGATTTAGCTTGAAGATATCCGCGATTTTCAATCTACCATACTGTAATTTTCCTGCGGACGCAAGAAGTCTGATCGCCGCGTGAAAATCTCGTGCACTGCTTCCGAATCGCATACTTGCATCCATATCGTTCGGGGAGTGACGAGCGCGAATGCAGGACCGTAGCGCACGTGCGGGTTAGCTTTCGCGTGGAAGAACCATCCTCGACGCATGTATGGAACAAATGTCGGCAATCGTTTCACTATTGATGCAGGAAGTAAATCGATGATGGTGAAGATGTGGGGCTCGATGACCTGGAAAGGAACATTTAGGTAGTCGACAGGCACTCGGATGAGTGGTATTCCCATTGAGGAAGCCCTTCTGTAGTTAAGCTCCAGGCAGACCATACACCAGCCAACATAGGCCACGACCGTGGCGATCAGGTATTCAATCATGTTGGCCCAGAAGTTGAAAATGGAAGAGACAATAGTTCACGATGCTGAGCAAAGTAGATGCAGATATACACCACAGCCGCGGATCCGGACTGGGAAGGCTGGTCACTCATCTGGCAGTACCTTGTAGGGATCATATTTGCGCCCTAGGAAGGGCCGTACTTCAGTCCAGTTACAGTTTGCCCACGGTCTTTAGTGCTTACCGAAGTGTAGCCGTGCCGCGCAAGCAGGCCGCTTTGATTGCGGTACGGCCGCCAGTATTTGATCCGGTCCGTTCGCTCGGCCACAAGACCTTCGATGCTTTCGTTTCGACTTCTACATGCTATCGATCGTGTATCATTTGTTTCCAAAAGTTCAGCTGAATCGTTTTGGAGTTTGCGACACAGCGTGGTCTTCATGAGATGGCTCTGTGTCTCTTCGAGTATTCACATTGCGCGGCCAAGTACACATGCCACACGTCGCGAATCAAGAAGAGCCAGATCGAGAATATGGTATCATATCATATCAACAAAACAACTTGGAGCCAGACTTTTGCGTAGAACATGGCGAAGGAAGAGTACACGTCGCGAGAAAGAGCAAGAGCTAGACCCGAAGCACCGTGACGTCAGTGCACCGACCAACCACGCCCCGGATCTCGCGGACACGTCCCAAGCTGTCGGCAAGACTGAAACGGGCCGCAATATCGAATGCCGATCATGTATGCAGGCGCAGAACCGACTTGTATGATGCAGAAATTAGACATCTGACATCTTGTTCTTGTAGCGGCTTTGCGGATGCGCATGGGTTCTGACTTGGAGCTTGATAAGATATGTGAATGAATTCCTCACATTTTGCATTGGTTGTCGGGCTGCTTGTTCACTGTACACCACTACCACTTCTATACACCCACGTGAAGCACCAAAACAACCGTACTAACGTTCAATTACCTCGTTCTTAGAATCTGGCAATTACCATTTCGAGGCTACCATTACGCTAATGACGCAAGAACGCAAGTAAGCTTTCCAAGGAGCTTGTTCCACTGGGTGTGTATCGTTAGGTCTAGAACGTAGCTCAACCTGTAGTGTAGAAGCTATCTCGAAAACATCCTACCGTTTTTGTTCTTGCACTTCAACACGTCGAATGTCCCTCGAGAAAACTGCGCTGGCGGAGACAGCTCCTACTCAGATCGCAGCGACTGCCGGCTACTGCGTCTAGATGGGATGGAAATCTTGGGTGTGGCTACAAATCAGTAGCTAGCAGGCTGTGATGAGTGTCCGGTCTGCCCAGGCATCGCAGCGCTGGCTCTAGTACCAAGGACCGCGTATAAAGCGTGCGCCAGCCCTTAAATATCAGGACGACAAGCACAATCGTACACTTACACCACACCACGCACCATGGCTCCCCGCGCAGTCCACTTCATCCGGCACGCCGAAGGCTACCACAACTCGCTCGAAGACGAAAACATCCCCGACCCCGACCTCACCCCCAAAGGCAAACAACAATGCATGCACCTCTCCACCATATTCCCCTACTTCGACCGCATCGACCTTGTCTGTGCCAGCCCCATTCGTCGAGCCTGTCAAACAGCGCTTATCAGCATGCAACCCTACCTGCAATCCGGCGAGCACAAAGTCCTCGCTCTCCCGCTCGCTCAGGAAGCGACCGATAAGCCTGCAAACACTCCCAGTCCTGTTAAAGACCTGCAGAAAGAATTCGGTGATGCAGTCGACTTTCATAGATGTCTGGATACGTATGTCGACTACGACTCCAAGAAGGGCCGGTGGGCGCCCGATGGCGATTCGCTAAAAGCACGCGCGCTGGAGTTGCGCAGGTTCTTACGCGATCGCGACGAGCAAGAGGTTGTGGTTGTGTCGCATGGAGATTTCTTGCACTATGTTTCTGGAGATTTGAACGAGGATGGAAGTCAGCGGGGAGGGTGGTGGAAGAATACCGAGTTTAGGAGCTTCAAGTTCTTTCCGGTCGGGCATGATGAGGCGTTGTTGCAGGAGACGGAGGAGAGTGTGAAGATAAGGAATGCGAGTGGACCGGGGATGGAGAAGGGTTCGGCGGGGCCCGAGAAGGCGGACTGATGTTTGTTTGGTTTGTAGCGTATGAAGCGATGTGGAGTACTTTCTACCTTACCTTCTGAGTGTATCCTTGCATCTTGTTATTGCCTGCTTCGGGACGATGAATCAGATGCGGAGCCCAGGTAGTCGTGGTTGGTCGCCTCACGTAAATACACACAAGATTGGTAGTTCGTGATGCTTCCAGTGGTCGCATGGTCGAACAAATCTTGAGACAACAAACAAGATGTCTCAGATGTTATCATGAATATAAACCTGATTCGCACCATATGGTTTCTTCCAGGAAAGCAAAAATGGTCAAATTTCAGGGATTGAACAGAAACCGAAAGTCTCCCATTACGGGTGAGCGAAAGGAGGAGCTAGAGGGTGAGTATCTCCATGTCCTATGGTTTTGTGAGAGACTCTTATTGACGAATCAATGACAGCACTGCGAAAAAATAATGTACCTAGGTACCTCTTTCGCGCCTGGCATCTCGGCAGTGGAGGCGCACCGGGAGCTACTCTCAACACGATAAACACAATCATGCCGCATGTATTCATGCCCAGAGCTCATCCTGAATACGAGAAAGAGCGGCCCAGCTTTTACCAAATGCCAGAAAACCAACTACATCGCATGGCTACCGGCCATTATGACGGCAAAACTGATGTAATATCCGGATTCAGTTCCTGGGCTGCGTCGCTACACCTGGTGCTCTGCTATGCCATGTTTCTCAAAAAGCGCAGTCATGATGAAGTGCATGTAGCTGTGATGGACACGCATGATCTTTCAGATGAAGTGCTTGTGTGGCACGTTCCACATCTCATCGGAGAGGCCAATCATGAGTATCTCGCTTTTGGCCGCATCATGGGGAACGGCTATCACGCCGTCAAATTCTACGACCTGGAACAGCATGGGATACTGAATCTTCTACCGGAGACCAGAAACTGTTTGTGTGAGAGATTTGGTTCTTCAATCCGACAAACCATGTTCACAAGATCGGCAGTAGATATCGGGGAAGCGGATCTGGATAGTTTCCGAGTGATCGGATCGCTCTTCGGCAAGCTTTCATTCCCGGTCATTACCGCGTTAGCCAGTCTTCGACCTAGACATTGGCGGGCCTGTCGGAAGGCAGGAGGACATGGACCGTGGTGGCGGGATAACAAGGACATTATTGCCAAGTTTGCACGAGAATTGAGGATGGCTCATGCTCCGACAGGGTTGCGCGAAGAGCCATGGCTTGCATTTGGCATGGTAGACACAAAAGACTTCCCGGATGTCGAGCAATGGATCGATCTGATGTCCATGTTCGCAGAGCTTCTTTCCGAGCAACATCAGCTCCCATCACAGGCACAGCACCGACAGATCGCCGGCATTCGACCACATTTGCTAGAAGAGACGGCGGCCATGTCCCCAGAACACCCCGAAACAGCAAATCCAGGAGGGAAACGGAAGAGAAAGGTAGTTACGGATCAGCCGCCAGCAAAGCGGACGTTGCGGGGCCACCCCGATATGCCTCCATACGTGCCAGAAGAGACAGCAGCCATGCTCCCAGGAAAGGACGAAGCAGCCACTGCAGGAGAGAAACGAAAGAAAAAGGGAGGTGAAGATCTGCCACCAGCAAAGCGCGCGCTACGGGACCGCGGAGACCTCATCTACACAGAGTGTCGAGGAGGAAAATGTGGCAAATGTATGACATGTCGGCCTGCGCGGTAGACATGTCAGGAGGTTAGAGTGGGAGCGATTCTGACAGATTGAGATTTCCTAGTTAGTCAGTAATACGTTTTTCTCTTCATTCTTTGAGTCAAACGGCGACGTCTGGACAGCGTGCGGATTGGACCGGACACTGGAGAGACGAGGAGAGTGGAGCAATCGCGAATTGCAGTGACGAGTTGCGCTCTTGGAGTCTTTTTCAAGGTCTGGGCTCTCTCTGTGTCGTTTCGTCTCCATAGTAAAAGTTTTCGCAGCCGCGTGAATGCGAGAAATTATTGCTCAACGGCAGTTCCGCGATATAAGCGCCAGAACGTGTCTCTTGAAAACCAATGTGGAGCCCCAACGCAGAGCCGCACCATCCGAATTAGGTGATCCACCCGCTCGAACGCCACATTATCGTGATATCGCGTAGTCAAAGACCCATCAGCCGATTCCGATCTTTTGCAAGAAAAGCGCATTGGCCGGAGACTGGGGCACCACACACAGCGTGCATCGATGCTGGGGTTGGATGAATGGGGCGCAGGCTGCATCGTGCGGCGTTCGATGAGGCGGGCAGTATGACATCACTGACCGGTGATGTTCATGATTTAAGATTCCGTGCGGGACTTGGCAATCCGGGATCCGCAGAAGCTTGTCCGTGCCGTGGATGCGAAGAGGTTCTTGGAGTGCTTGACGCTTCTTATGTGCGTGAATGCGTGGTATTGAGGATGTTGAAATATTCGCACCGTGGCTGAAAGACATATTGTGAGTATGACGTAGCGTCTTGATACCCCAGAAGACAGATTCCCCATCCCGGAGATGTGCATGCGGTTGGTGTGACTAGCAGGACCCACTGTTACAACTGCATCTGTCTGCAGTGAGAGGTCGCCGCTTAGACGTGAATAACGTTCGCAAGCCATAGCGCCAAATCCTGCAAGCCCGGGTACTGCGAGATGACGTCCTGCGCTGCGGCACGGGACTGTCGTGTGATGCGCACCGACCGCGACTGCTTTCATTGTCAGTGACTTAAGACGACCTGCGCCGTTGACGTCCCCGCGAAATCACCTACTTCCCTCCAGCTTCCCCGGATGCTGGCCAGTGAGAGGAAATCGATTTATCCTGCCCATCGCTAGTACTATCCTTCATCATGGCTACAGCCGGAGAGGTCGAGCCTAAGATCCACGACCCGCATACGGTCGGGAATAACCAGGCTATTCTCAACGAGAAAAAAGACTCGACTTCTGATCTTGAGCACCAACACGCCGAGAACCCTACCGCGAATGCGAACAACGCGGCTGACCGCGAGCACTTCGAGAAGTACGGCACGTATGAGAAATATGAGATCACCGAAGAGGACTGCTACGAGGAGCTTGGCTTCTCGTTCCCCAACTGGAAGAAATGGTTGATTCTCTCAATTGTTTTTCTCGTGCAAGTCAGCATGAACTTCAACACGTCGCTCTACAGCAACGCAGTCGGCGGCATTTCCAAAGAGTTCGGTGTCAGCGCCCAGGCTGCCCGTCTTGGTGCTGCGCTTTTCCTGATCACATACGCTTTCGGCTGCGAGCTGTGGGCGCCTTGGTCTGAGGAGCTCGGACGATGGCCTATCCTCCAGCTCAGTTTGTTCTTTGTCAACATCTGGCAAATCCCCGTCGGCATTGCGCCCAACTTCGGAACGATTCTGGCGTTCCGTTCGCTCGGTGGTCTGTCTACCGCTGGTGGATCGGTCACGCTTGCGATGGTGGCTGATATGTGGGAGGCGAATGAGCAGCAGTACGCTGTGGTGAGTGCCTCCGCGAACCCCGTTCATGAAATCCAGCTAATTCTTTCAGGCTTTTATCGTCTTCTCTTCAGTCGGTGGCTCCGTCCTCGGTCCCATTGTGGGAGGCTTCGTCGAGCAGTTCCTTGCCTGGCGCTGGAACATCTGGATCCAGCTCATCTTCGGAGGCGCTGTTCAGATTGCCCATGCTCTCATCGTACCCGAAACCCGTACAACCGTCCTCATGGACAGGATCGCGAAGAAGCGCCGCGCGGAGGGCGAGAAGAATGGCAAGCCGGTGAACATCTGGGGGCCCAACGAGCTCAGGACCTTCAAGGAACGCTTCAACCCGCGTGAGATCCTCACCACCTGGATGCGACCATTCCGCATGTTCTTGACTGAGCCCATTGTTCTGGTCTTGTCGCTGCTTTCCGGTTTCTCTGATGCCATCATCTTCATGTTCCTCCAATCATACGCTCTAGTGTTTGAGCAGTGGGACTTCGCCGTCTTCTCCATTGGCCTCGCGTTCTGTGGTATCGGTGTCGGTTACTTCATTGCATGGGCCAGCTTCATCCCCGCCATTAAGCGCAACGAGCGACTCCGACGTGAGCGACCTGGCGATGAGCAGGCTCAGTACGAATCCAGACTCTGGTGGCTTCTTTATACCGCGCCATGCCTGCCCATTGGACTCATCATCTTCGCCTGGACGTCGACTGGCCCGCCAATCCACTGGATGGGACCTATTATTGGCAGCGCTATTATCGGCATCGCCAACTACGCGATCTACATGGCCACCATCGACTACATGATTTGCGCCTACGGGCCGTACAGTGCCTCAGCGACCGGCGGTAATGGCTGGGCACGTGACTTCTTGGCTGGTGTGCTCACCCTTCCCGCGACCCCGTTCTTCAAGAACATCGGCGGCAAGAACCATTTGGCCAACGCATCCACCATTCTCTTCTGCATTTCTGTTTTGCTCGTCATCTCGGTCTACGTCATCTACTGGAAGGGTCCGGTCATGCGCGCTCGCAGTCCTTTCGCCCAGCAGCTCAGCTCTGCGCGCAACGAGACTGGCGGTAGGAGAGTCAGTGCGTTGCCCGGCATCTACGGTTCAAGGCAGAACTCGGTTACTGGTTCGATGCCTACTTCGAGGCGTGCCTCCGCAACTCGTGCGCAGGCTGGTGAGCACAGGCATCACACTGCGGATGGCATGCGGAAGATCAACCAGAAGGAGAACTCGCAAGTACCTGCAGGTATTGAGCAGCATTGAGTGCTCCAAGAGTTTCGATCTGCCCTTATAATAATACCATCTTTTATCCTGAAACCAATTTTACATGATGCGCTACTATGAAAGTGAAGTCAAACTCACCATGCATCAGAAAAATTCCTGTCCGCCTTTTCCCAGCGAGGAGAGGTGAAGAGGTAGCCTGTATATATCCAAAGATTTCTAGAGGGATTAGGTACAGCATCTTAGAGCTGCGTATACATTCAGGCTCTTCGAAGTTTATAATGAGTATACTTCTAAAGACTATTAGCTTATGTCGTGTAGGTGCAGCCGCTGCCTGTGAACCTCTTTCCAAGCTGACATCTGCAAATTTCCACTATCGCGGATCGGGCATGGTGGATTCCCCGCGCCTCGGCCACGCGCTTACAGCTTCAGCGCGACTCCGCACCTGGGCAACACCGAAGCACAACGGCGCCTCCCGAGGTATATATAGTCATGTTTACTTCGACGAGCGCCAATGCTACAATGCATCAGTTAGACCCTATCGTCTTGGTGTATACCGCGCGACTGAGCGATTCACAACCTTGAACTCGCAATGGCACCACAACGCCCGATACGAATTGCAGGTACGTTCATACCATTCTAGATGCATTACACAAACGCCAATTGAATCAAACAGGATGCTCCGGATCCACTACTGACCGCCGCAATGCCATGACCCTACTGGCCTCGAACTACGAAAACGACCCCATCGATGTGCTGGTTGGAGACTGGATGAGCGAGGGAAACATGACGGGCAGAGCGAACGCCAAAGCCAACGGTACCATCGACGCATACGAACCCACTTTTCTCGAAGCGCTCGAGCCTGCGCTGCCTCATATTGCGAAGCACCGCATCAAAGTCGCTGTAAATGCGGGCGCGGCGGATACGCAGAAGCTACATGATGTGGTTACGAAGATGGTCAAGGCGAAGGGACTGGATTTGAGTGTCGCGTGGATCTCGGGCGATGAAGTACTGCCGCAGTTGCTTGAAGCGCAGAAGCGTGGCGATTCGCTGTTTGAGAATATCTGCACGGGGCAGAAGCTGGAGAATTGGGAGTTTGAGCCCGTCTACGCACAGGCATATCTCGGGGGGTTGGGAATCGCAAAGGCTTTCAAAACAGGCGCAGATATCGTCATATGCGGGCGGGTGAGCGATGCCAGTCCCGTCATCGGCGCAGCGTATTGGTGGCATTATTGGAAGCGGTCGGATCTGGATAAATTGGCAAATGCATTCGTCGCAGGCCATTTGTCTGAGTGTTCGTCGTATAGCACTGGTGGGAACTATACGGGGTTCAAGGACCTTGAGTGTCTGGATTGGACGAAGATTGGGTACCCAATTGTCGAGATTGCAGAGTCGGGGGAAGTCATTGTGACAAAGAACCAAGGGTCTGGTGGTGAAGTATCGGTCAATACACTCACGAGCCAATTCCTGTACGAGATTCAAGGACCCTGGTATTTCAACTCGGATGTCACAGCGATCCTGGACGACGTCTGGTTCGAGCATTTGGCGACGAATCGTGTGGCACTTCGAGGTGTGAAAGGCGCTCTGCCTCCACCTACAACAAAAGTCGGAATCACAGCAAAACCAATATATCAAGCCGAGATGACATGGTTCATCACAGGTCTTGATACACATGCCAAAGCTCGCATGATCGAGCAGCAAATCCGACATCAAATGGGCTCCAACACCACCAACTTCTCAAAACTGGACTTCCAAATCATTGGGAGCTGTGCAGACAATCCGACAAACCAAAACGCCGCAACAGTCTCCTTCCGCGTTGTCGCCCAAGCCCGGAAAGCCGAATATCTCGCCCCCGCGAAATTTGTGCGCCCGTGTATCGACCCCATAATGTGCGCTTACCCAGGCGCAACTCCACACCTCGATCTGCGCCAGGCGTTTCCGAGAGAAGTATTTGAGTACTATGTCACTCTTCTCCCACAGTCAGCCATAGACCACAAAGTCCATTTACCGAATAGTGAGACAGTCGATATCGCAGCACCGACTGAGACAAAAGTATGGGACAAGCACCAACCAACACAAACCAACACGTCGAATATCAAAACATTGGACAGTTTCGGCCCAACAATTCCCTCCCCCCTCGGCACAATCGTGCACGCGCGCTCCGGCGACAAAGGCAGCGACTGCAACATTGGGCTGTGGGTGCGGCACGCTGACGAATATGCGTGGCTGCAGAACCTCCTGTCAACATCATTCATGACGACCCTGCTAGCGGACGAGTACACGGGCGGCAGAGTGGAGAGATGCGAGTTTGAGGGACTCAGGGCTGTGCACTTTTTGCTCAAGGATCATTTGGATCGTGGGGTGAGTTGTAGTATGAGTGCGGATTTGCTGGGGAAGAATTGTGCAGAGTATGTTAGAGCGCGGTGGGTTGATGTACCGGTGAAGTTTCTGTCAAGGGGGAGGGTTTGAACTGGGTGTTGTGGAAGTGCTGATTCTGATGGTCGTGACTGCCTTAATTATCTACTATTGTTGCGTGACGTCCGTGGGTGGTTGGTGCCTCCCTGGTTGAGGTCAGATACCTAACGCGTTCAGTCTCTCTTCCTTTCTCACTGCGTGAACACTCTCACCGGCGCAATCTGTTGCGCTGCCTTTTCTTCTACTCCTACAGCATCTCCGTTCCATGCAGCATGCTGCTCAATGGACTCAGCTCTCACTGCATAATCGCTTGGGAAGATCCCACGCGAACGCGATCTCCTCCGCTACATGTAGACGAAAGGCGCATCTCGCAGGGCTAGATCTTCCATGCACGCAGCATGCAAAGCCTTTTCCCGGCTACCACCCACCCCGGAAGTCGCCAATTCTGTGCTCGTCTGAAGGCATGCGAGATAATCGCCTCTTTGTCGAAGCAATCGAGTACAAAACTGTTCCAATCAGCAGAACCGTGGAGATACGCTCGCACTGTGGAGACGCAGCGACTTCGGTCCGCACTGACAGGGATGCCCATTGGTCGGCTTCTTCTCCTTATCTTTGCGACTAGTCATTCGAACCACCAACCTCGAGACGACATCTATCTCCACGCCCAGCCCTAGCTGATGGCAGCACGATGAGGCCAAATCACCGTCGACGAAAGAATCCTCCGCGCCGCCTGTGCTTATCAGCGCAAGCGAGCTTCCACAAGTCAAGACGCCTGCAATTATGACCATCTTGCTAATTGCAAGCTACAATGCTTTTTACCGTTCGGTTTACCTGTCTGGTACGCCAATGTCGCGGCTTAATCGTGCTATCTGTGGCCAATCAGCGTGGCTTGCATATGATCAACGTCTAGATAGCAGAATTTACTCTCCCCCGAACAGATGCCGTGCATCGATATTGTGCATGTGTGGGGACTGGGGAAGGACATATAGATACCTGGGTCGTTCCACTGAAATGGTTCAACGCTCCTCACGCACGTCGTAATTCTCTCACGACTTCAATATGGCTGGAGGTGGTGCACCAATCGGTCCTTCAGCTTCGCCCTTGGGCCAGGCTTGGGGTTATGGCATTGTTCTTGGTGTTGGCTTCTTGTTTGCTCTCGGCATGGTATGTCAGATGCAGTCTGTTAATAGGTTGGGAGAGGTTCTGACGAAAAGTAGATCTTGACGACGTGGGTTCTCAAGCGATACAACAATGAAGTACAGACTTCGGAAATGTTCTCGACGGCTGGTCGCACGGTCAAGTCAGGCCTTGTTGCTAGTGCTGTTGTCTCGTCCTGGACTTGGGCTGCTACGCTCTTGCAGAGTTGCTCTGTTGCTTTTCGATATGGTAGGTTATCCGAGGAAAGGAGTTATGTGGACTGATGGCTAACGTGTGTAGGTGTTTCTGGACCATTTTGGTATGCCTCGGGTGCTACCGTGCAGATTTTGCTGTTTGCGACGGTGGCTATCGAGTTGAAGAGAAGAGCGCCAAATGCGCATGTAAGTCCAGCCTGCTTACAGAACCGTCCAGCTGCTAATGAGATAACAGACCTTCCTGGAAGCTGTTCGTGCCCGTTATGGAACTGCTACCCATTTCGTCTACATCACTTTTGGCCTGTTCACCAACACTCTGGTAACAGCCATGTTGCTCACCGGCGGATCAGCCGTCATTTCCTCGTTGACCGGTGTACCGACCGCAGCAGCTTGCTTCTTGCTACCACTTGGTGTCGTCGTTTACACCATGTTTGGTGGCATCAAGGCTACCTTCCTTACCGACTATGTGCACACAGTGATCCTGCTCATCATCCTCTTGACCTTCGCTTTCACCACTTATGCCAGCGGTACTGCCCTCGGTTCGACTGAGGCGGTTTACAAGGCACTCAACAAGCTTTCTGACGAGATGCCCGTGCCAGGTAACGCCGGCGGAAGCTACCTTACGATGAAGAGCAAGGATGGAGCGATCTTCTTCGTCATCAACATTATTGGTAACTTTGGTACCGTCTTCATGGACAATGGATGTGAGTTTGATTGAAAAGAAGGTATTGCTAGCCAGATCTAACGCGTGCCAGACTACAACAAGGCAATTGCTGCTTCGCCTGTCCATGCCCTTCCCGGTTACATCATTGGAGGACTGTCCTGGTTCGCTATCCCATGGCTGTGCGCCACCACCATGGGTCTTGCCGCCCTGTCGCTGCAGAGCTCTCCCAGCTTCCCTACTTACCCGAACCTTATGACCGAATCCGAGATCAGCGCTGGTCTTACCCTGCCGTACGCAGCTGTCGCGCTTCTCGGCTCCGGTGGTGCTGTCGGTACACTTTTGATTGTCTTCATGGCTGTCACCAGTGCTTTCTCCGCGCAACTGATTGCCGTGTCTTCGATCCTGACATACGACATCTACGGTACCTACATCAATCCTCAGGCCTCGGGCAAGCGTCTAATTTACATTTCGCACTCTTGCGTTGCGGGCTGGGGTATTGTCATGGCTGCGTTCTCTACAGGCTTGTTCTACGCTGGCATCAGGTAAGATTGAAGTCACTACATTCTTCCGGTCAAAAGCTAACAATTTGGACAGTATGGGTTGGCTGTACGTTTTCATGGGTGTCATCATCTCCTCCGCCGTGCTTCCAGCCACACTCACTCTGATGTGGAAGGGCCAGAACTTCTGGGCTGCTACACTCAGCCCTATTCTTGGTCTTGCCTGCAGTTTGACAGCATGGCTGGTCACAACCTCAAAGCTCAACGATGGAGTCATTAGCGTCGCTACTTCAGGCGCCAATAACCCTATGTTGGCTGGAAACGTCGTCGCACTGCTCTCGCCCATGATCTTCATCCCGGTTCTTACCTTGATCTTCGGCATTGGTACGTCGTTCCCCTCAAATCGCAATGATAGAATATAGAATACTAACGGAAGCCAGACAATTATGACTGGGAGTCAATGAAGAACATCCGTCTCGGCGACGATTCCGACGTGACCGCCGCCGCGCATCTCGACATCGAACATGTCGTCGGCCGCCACGGCGCTCTCTCTCCTGAAGCCGAAGCCGCCGAGCAAGCCAAATTGCTGCGCGCCTCCAAAATCGCCAAATACACGACCGCAACCATGACGCTTGCCCTCCTGGTTCTCTGGCCCATGCCCCTCTACGGCACCGGCTACATCTTCAGTCAGAAATTCTTCTCCGGCTGGGTGATTGTTGGCATTATTTGGCTCCTGTGCTCGACGATGGCGGTCGGTGTGTATCCGCTGTGGGAAGGCAGGAAGAGCTTGGCGAGGAACTTTGGCGGTATGTGGAGGGACTTGACGGGCAAGGGAAGGAAGCCGATGCCGCACGTTGTGGAGGGCGAGAAGATGGCGGAGAGCGGAACGCATACACCTACTGCGAAGGAGGCGGAGGCGACGACCGTTGTTGGCTGAGTGTTGGATAGCACGGAGGATTGGTGGTTGGGTGGGAGATTGTCTTGTTTGATACCCAGTGCGCGACGCATTCATGAAGCATATAGCGGCTTATCCCGAATGTGCATGAGTCAGAATCTATATTCAATAATACTGGAGTTTTCCGTCTTCCAAGCCCCCAACCCAACTTCTCCCATCGCAAACATGGACCCGGTAGTCGGTAACGCCCAAGATGCACCGAAAGCCGTTCATCTCGGCGCTTCTTCGCCCACACCCAAAGCTAGATCTCTTCGCCCGCCGCATCCCTTGGGGCAACAGCCTTGTAATCCTTCGAGAACCATTCCAATTTTAGCCTCCGAACGACAAATGAGATGAACGCCAACGCGCCTGATTGCAGGAACAATGCCCCTAGCGTGGAATATCCCCAGATTTATCCCCGCTACCCCAACATTACCCGGTCCAGGGCTCGGTGCAAGCTCGACCGAAAATCCACGTGCGCACGCGTGCGCGCAAGTAATCTCCAGGGCGGTGGCATATAAGCACCCCAGCCCGAATCACTCGAGATGGAGCAAATCACACTGCTACGAAAAACATGGGCGTGATCAAGTTCTTCGCCTGCAGTCTCGCGGTGCTAGCGGCGGCGTCGCCGGTAGAGCAGCGCAACAAAAAGGCGCCCAAGAGCTTCTTCAAAGAGCTGGGGAACTCGACGTGGGTCATTGGAAACGACGTGTGGAACGTCACGCAGAACCGCCAGTATGCAGATCAGCTGTGGTACAAGGGGAAGGACCGCGTGGGCAAAGCCGTGGGGCATTATGTTAGTTACAGTACGTCCTTTTCCCCCCTCCCATCTTCCCAAATGGTGTGGTCGATTAACGAGGTGTGTAGATGGTGCAGCGTCAGATTTGAACTGGACATCTGCGGCGATTGCGGATTCAGGCTCGGATTGGATCAACGTCAGATTCACCGCTAAAGAAGGCGATTTCCACTGGCTGATTCGAGATGGGCTTGCGGGCGCTCACCAGTACTTCATCAATCGCGCGTTGCCTACGCTCGGCGAGTTTCGCACGCTGTGGCGCCTGGACAATGCGTCGTTTCCGCGCGGGTACAATAATGTTAAAGATGGGGATCTGCCTGCGCTTGCCGAGTATGCCAATGCGACGAATGTGCAGGACGAGACGTGGCAGAAGGCGGATGGGACGTTTTTGACGAAATATGATTGGAGTGGGAATTTGAGGGAGCAGCGGGTTTGGGGCGTGTATGGAAGGGAGGTGGGGAGTTGGTATGTGCATGCTGGGAAGGAGTATTTTAATGGGGATCAGACGAAGCAGGAGTTGATGGTGAGATCCCCCTTTTTTTCCTTTTCTTTTCCCACTTTCTTGCTTTCATAGACATGGAGGGCATGAGGCTGATAATCACCTTCACAGGTCCACCGCGAATCCAAAACAGGCGACGCAGTGCAGCTCAACATGATCCACGGCACACACTTCCAAGCCACATCCCGCGACTCCTTCGCGCCCGGCAAACTATGGGGTCCCTGGCTCTGGTACCTCAACGACGGCTCTGTGGCGGACGCTCACCGCCAGTTCGACCAAGAAGTGCGCTCCTGGCCGTATAAATGGTTCGCCGAGACCGACGCGTCTTTCCGCTCGCGCGGCAAAATCCAAGGTCGTTTACGCCTGAGCGATGGCCGGCCTGCATCTGGCGCCACAGTCTTCCTCGGCGACAACAGGAACTCGACGATCAGTACGCTGGACCAAGGAAAAGGCTACTACTACACGACCTACGCCGACGAGCAGGGGAAATTCTCTATCCGCGATATTCGAACCGGCACATATGCTTTATACGCGTGGGCAAACGGCGGCGCGATCAGCGATGTTACGACGAACCTCACGCACAACGACGTCGTGGTGAGCGAGGGCCAGAACACCAACCTGAAAGACTTGACGTGGGCGGTTCGCGATCAGCGCAAGCGGGTCTTCCAACTCGGCGCGTTCGATCGCAAGACAGATGGCTTTGGCCTCGCGAATCTTCAGAAACCCTTCGAGCACGCGCGCATCTCCAAATGTCCCGCTAACCTCACATACACCGTCGGCACCAGCAAAGAAGCGGATTGGTGTTTCGGCCAATCCACCGTCGGAACATGGAAGATCAAGTTCCCCATCAGATCCGAATGCTCGGATGCGAAGCTCACGCTCTCGCTGGCGGGCTTTAGTCAGGGCTCGAGCGCGGATGTGTTGCTGAATGGCAATAAAGTGGGCAATATCACGAGTGCAAGTTTGGTGAATAGCCAGGATACTTATCGGGGGGCGACGCGGTCGGGGGAGTGGCGATTATTGGAATTTCCAGTGAAGGAGGGCGGGTTGAGGCAGGGGTGGAATGAGCTGGATGTTAGAGTTACGAATGCGACGCAGTGGAGGGGATGGTTATGGGATAGTGTTGTTTTGGAGTGGGTTTGAGTAGGGGTGTAATATTTATTATGGACGCCTGATTACAGATGAGCTGCAAGTTTGTGGCGTTTTTATATTATTATGACTTGCTGATTAAACTGGTTCGGCAGCATTCATGCTCTGATTCTGCTGGTTCTGCAGCATTCATGCAGCAAGTGATTCTTGGGGAACTACCCCGCGGAGGAAGCAAGAGTCTTTAAGTTCAACTCGAACACAGGCTTGTCGTAGTCAAGAAGCTCATCATCGTTGTCTCCTTCATCAGTGTCGCTATCGTCCTCTAGGTTTTCGTCATCGATGTCGCTGTCATTTTCCTGCACTCCGCCACCATTGTGTTCGGCACTTGTCAATCCATCGACCCCTCCCTCTACGCTTTTTGACAGGTCTTCGACTACCTGCCAGAACGGGGATTCCAGGAGAGTCGCGAGGCGGCTCACGACTCTCCTGTAAAGTCAATGATATGGAGTCACGTTTTAGTTCCGCGTCTATCATACTTAGAAGAACGCGCCGTGCAAGATGAAGATGATAGACAGTGTGAAGCTAAGGGACTATAATGGAATCTGATACCAGCCGCGCAATTAGAGTTTATAGTAATTACATTATTATACTGAATTAAAACATTAATGTGACAGACAGTTGCAAGTCCCAATATATGTTTCCGGAACAGATACCTCTTCACGAACAGCTCTTGGTTTGCTATTACTTCAAGTACACAGCCTGAGGAAAGCGGTGTAACCTGCTGCGACACTATAACCGACGATATTAGTAGTATATCGTGCGCAAACTCCACGGCCGTTTTGGATATTGAAGGCAGCAGCACCGCACGATGCCGCTGTGCAGGACGCGGCACACGCTGCCGCGTTAGCAACAAATATGGGTAAGCCAAGGAGGTTAGCTTGAGGGACGACATTGCAACGGATCTGATATCCAGAAATACAAGACATGTCGTTTGCTGGGCATACATTTGAAAGGTCTCCATTGTAGTTGTTGCATGTAGGAGGAGCTGGTGTAAACCGGCATGCGGGCGTTGATGGCGTGCTCGAAGGTATGGCGGACCTGATTGGTGTACTCAAAGGCGCTGCAGAACTGGTTGATGGTTCTGGTGTACTCGAAGGCGTTACAGAATTGGTCGATGGCTCTGGTGTACTCGAAGGCGCTGCAGAGCTGGTTGGTGGTTCTGGTGTACCCGAAGGCGCTACGGGGCTGGCTGATTCACTCGAAGGTGTTGCAGAGCTAGCCGATAGCATTGAAGGGTCGCTTGAGATTGAAGCACTGCTCGGCGATGAGGTACTAGAAGCAGAACTGGTTTGAGTCTGGACAGTGCTTAGAGATAGAGACAGAGAGCCAGATGCTGAGGACGTGGCTAGCGTAGATGATACCGCCGACGAAGGAAGTGGTGTGCTGCTGGACTGTGCTACTGAAGAGCTGGACGAAGGACTCGAAGATGATATAACCGAGGACAATCGCGAGGGGGCCAAAGTGCTTGATGACCGTACGGACGATGAGCCTGGGCTATTGCATTGTCCAAAACCTCTTCGGCAGGTAGTGGCGCTGCAGTAGTCCGAGGTCGAGCCGCAATAAGAGTATTGACTGCAACCTAGAGTAGAGATGAGATATTGTTATGCGTCGGTAAAGCCTCCGCCAGAGACAGACTTACAGTTTCCCCATCGACTACCTTGGCAGGTTTTTCCGCCGAACGACGGACCACACCTCGCGTCTGTTGAAACGGGCTGGGAAGAAGCGACAGGTATAGTAGAGGCACGAGTGCTGCTCGAAACAATCACTACCGAACTAGAGATTGTAGTACCATCATTTGCACATGCGCCGAATTCTGAGTTACAGCCTTTCCCACAGTACGCAGTGGTTGAGCCGCACCTGGATGGGAGAATATGATATCAGTTTATGACTCTATTACCATAAAATATGGAGTGCTTACCAGTTGTACTGTGAGCAGCAGTTTCCCCATTCTTTAGAGTGGTCAGTCACTGGATTCGCTTGAACAGGGGGATTCCGAATCCTTACTTGATCCAAGACAGGTATACTAGGATAGTAGATACGCGGTCAGCATATGCTGCAGGTGTATTTAACGTATGGAATGTACTTACGCCTTTGGTACCACCACAAGTTGCATCTTTCGACACGACGCTGCGTAGGGCAGTAGTGCCAAATGGGACGAGAAGCAATAGCAAGGCGGGTAACGAGGAGCGCATGTTGACTTGGTGAGAGGAGACACGTCAACAAGAAGTAACCAAAAGTAACGACCGACAAAGCTCTCACTTGATGGGCTTAGAAGCTTTAAGGGCTATCAGAATCGTATTGAGATGTGCTAGTTGCTGCGATGATATTCCGTTCCTAGAATTCAACTGATACTAGCTTCTGCAGACGCTCAGATGCTATTTCCACTACAAGCGGCAAAAGAATAGTCGTCGTCCGGATCTGGGTCTTTTCAGGGGATGCTAGGCGCCACAGATGTCTTTACTCTCCATCTCAGCTTGAATCTCGACTTCAATAAACGCCTCATGCGGTCCGACGAGACTGAAGCAGGGTTCTACAGATTCTAGCCCGTACCCCTAATCACCATGTGGTCCATGCGCTATGCTCAAAATGCTCCAAATGATCTAGCATCTGCAGGGTCAGGGCAACGCTAAATCTTGATCTTCGCTTACAGATGCAATGGTGGCGCTTGAGGCTGCTAGCTCAGCACGCCACTATTCTAAGCGAGTCAGTCCCGAAAACAAGGGCCTACTGATATCTGAAAAGAAGTAATGTTGTGTATCAACCCACAGAACATCAGGCGACACCCAGAATGATTGCGCCCGCCCTATTTCGCCGCTTGCTTCTACTGAACTTCAAGTGCTTATAACCATAGAAATTCTTTTGTGTGCAAACCCCCGTTGGTTTTGAAGTGTGTATGCGCAATGCAGAGCCTACGGCTCAGCAAACATGACCATGAGACAAATGCACCAAGAGGTGAAATATGTCTGAGACATTACAAAGAATATGTTACTGCAACAGCCTTACTCTCGAGCATTGCCCGCACAGCCGCAACGAGAGAAGTTCCAGGACCAAGACATGTGCTGTGTGAGTTCTACTTTGTTGTTGTTTAGGGTTGAGAAAGAAATTTACAACATTACAGATGTGCCGCGGCAAATTACGCCTTGAGTGTTTAACGTACATAGATTTTTTTCGTTTGAATGTCAGATACTATAACCTCACCAGGAGAAGAAAACCATAATAGCAACGGGCATGGGGTATACCGGAAAGATCAAATCTGCAACGCCGTCATCCAAGCACGTACCGAAACAAGCGCTCAGCACATGTTAAATCAACCGAAATTCTGTCTTCTCAACATACTCACTGATCGCCTCTCCATCCATTTTCCCGTGAATGTAGGCCTCTCCAACAAATTCATGATCTTGCGTGCCCGTCACAGGTCGCAAGATGACGGGTACGCTACAACCGTACAAGATGGCAATGATGTCTCCTTCTTGAGTTTTGCGTGGTCCGAGACCGACAAGCTTTTTTCCTGCGCCAGCCGAAGATCTGCGCCCTTCAGAAGCAATTGAAGGCTGTTCAGGAAGGATTGGCAAGCCCTCGATGAAAGATCGGTCCCATGTAACAGCAAGGACGCGCTCAAGGTAGTCTTTCGTGTAGTTACTATCTTCAGTCTTCCGGAGGACTTCTTTGATGTTCATGTGACCGTTCCGCGTTAAGCTGACGAGGCAGTGTTGGCAAGCGAGCCGGTACGTTTTGGGCTTCGCCTGTCCCTTTGGACCTCGATCAGCAACAAGGGTGCGCCATAGTTGGTCAGGAACTTCTTTAACTGCTTTTGCTTTCCAATCGAAGTTCCAACCGAGCTTTTCCAGGCAGTCTCTTGGAATTACGCCATCCGCGAAAGGTTGATTACGAAATGAGACTATACCAATCGCAACTCCAGTGACAATCAACATTGCCTTATGGACGCTGTGATTGCTGCCATCTCCTCCGAGTATTTCATCTTCGATTGGCGCAGGATCTTCGGGGAAAATGACTTGTGGATCTTTTTTAAGCCACCCAGAGCCAGAAGCATTGTATTGAGAAGCTCCAGGTAGACCGACGAGACTGTCGGCTGCCTTCCGGCCATGATACACCTCCTCACCCCTTCCAAAGGCGGAGTCATCCACGAGGAGTATCCAGGTGGGCAATTGCACAAGTCGAGGTGTTGTAGGAGTCTTCGTTTCTCGCTCTGGGAGCGCCCAGTACCGGCAGATGATATTGAGCGATTTGGAAGTGTCGACCACATACTTCACGAATTCTCGATAGACTTGTAATAAATCTTTCGAGTAGTCAGGTTTAGGAAGCGTATGATGGCCAATCTTATTGGATGAGTTCGATTCTTTACAGATGTTCAAGAATGCGTTGATAGTGTCCCGAGGATCCGACGTATCGAAGTTGGATAGGCTGCAAACCAAAGTCTCCAGATTTATGGTAGAGTCGTACTGGCCATCTGATTCCTTGCGAAATAAGTCTGAAGTGATATCAACCAGTAATTTTGCGCCGAACTGCTCGATCTCGAAGGCGGAATCCAGATACTTATTGCGTTGATGGAAATGCGTTCTGAAGTATTCTCGCAATCTGCCTTTGAGAACATCAAAGCTAGCACAAAATATAGCGATTGCGTTGTGAAAGTCTTCCCAATTGATAGTATGCGACCCGCAGTGGACGGTCGCGTATCTGGCAAGAGCTAACTCCTGAATGACCCATCGACGCGAGAACCTTAGAGTGAGGTCAGCTTATACACAAGGTGTTACATTGAAGGCGGAGACATACCAGCTCCAACGTAATAGCTCAAACAGGCTTGCCCATTGAGGTATATATTCTGGCTCGCTGAGGAGTGCTTGGTAGTTATTGGGATTAATGGCTCGTGGGATGAACTGCATGGCCCGATCTGACACGCGACTCTCAGTTGTGTCGGTTCCAAGCCAAATGCAGACACTCTTTGAATTATGATAGATGCTAGCCATCTTCATCACCTGCTCTTGTTTTTCGGTGTCGTCATTTTGATTGATGCAGATCGCATCTACCCAGATAAACAGGTGCTTCCCACACGAAGCCCGCCTGAGTTCTTTGAGGGCATCGTAGAGATTATGCCGAATGAGCATCTTTCGGGAGTCAGAGAGTTTCTCTGCCATCGCGTCGTCAACAAGGTCTTGCAAAGAGCTGATTGGCCGTGCCTTGATTTCAGACTGTATGATTATGGTATGATCTGCTTCACTGTCACCCCAATTGTACGACAGGGCGGTATAGATTTGCTTCCCGTTCTCCAGCTCGCTATCATCGAATGTCTTTAGAGTAGCGTTGAGAGGACAGTTCGGTGCATCTGACGGTTTGATGACAAGCAAGCGAACTTGATCGCTCCTGATACTGCGATAGGTGTATAGGCCTTTGGCTGCCTTCTGGATGAGCGCGATTGATGCTGATTTGCCTGTCGAGGTGGATGACGAAGGGCGCCTTGATTTCATCATGCCCTCCCTGTTGATCGGAATTGCAGTCGGCAATGCAAATTGTGTTGGGTCAAAAGATTCAACTGGGAAGGTGTCCGGATCATGAGAGTTGTCGTCATGGTCCGTTTCTACGGCTTTCTGCGGAGAATGAATATTGTTGGCGAATGTTTCAACAATTCTCGGTATGTTTTGATTCGACACTGGGCGGATCTTGAGTGGAGGATCATCGTGCGGCAGCATGGTCGCATGAAAGGACCGTTTGAGTGACATGATCTTGAATGCAGTCGAAGTATAGTGTACTTCCTCCGTGGGAGGTGGGGACTGTGGATCTAATAAGTGGAGTGAACCAGTTCGCCGCTCCATCTGGGAGTCAACATGGTAACTCAAGGCGAGGTCGCATCACCCATCACCATGGATTGGAAGCCACCGACACCCTTCTCCTGCATGACTATGCGTTTCCGTTGCCACCAGAACAAGGTGAGACCACTCCTTGGGGGCGGGCCAAGCGCCAATGAGATGCTACACTGTTCGTGGGGGTAGTTGCAACCAACTCTCATTGTCGTTTTTTTACTCTGTCAACCTGTACACAGCCTGCAGCAGGACGACAGATCGGTCCCACAAGCGTCCAAATGTGGTAGCAGCTACAATGACTCGTGCCTGCAAGATCCCGCGTTCATGGTATCCACGGCGCGCATGTTGCGTCTAGTGTGATTGCGGAGATGGTTGCACAGAACGGGGCTATGCGAGGTCCTTCGGCCAGAAAAACCGTGGTGGGCAATGGCCAAGCGATAAGACGAACGAGGCTTCAGGAGAAATCTGAGTTGAAAGCAAGGAACGCGCCGCATGAGTCCACTACAGTAGAGCCCATTTGCCTAGAGGACCGGATGCACATAATGGCGTTGGTTGTATGATCGAGTACAGTTCGCCAGTTGATGCCTAGAGTTGATGAAGCCCATCTTGGCAGGGTGGTGTTGAGAAGGCACGGGTCACATCAGAGCCGGACCCTGCCCCTTCCCACCTTCTGAGGTTGACAACTTTTTCGTCAACATCAACGACGAGGAGCAAAGAGCAATGTTACATCAGCTTTTGATAGTGCAATATTCTCGCTAAAAGAATGATCAGCAATTTTGCCATGTCGGTATGGAAAAGAGCGACTGGTTGACGCTGGGTTTTGTTGGGGTTTGTTGGGTGTTGCTGGGAGGAGATCGAAAGGCTCCATCGCCGCCTTCAACGCGTCGCCAGCGCTTAGACATGAATGTGCTAACCGGGGAACGATAGGAGGAGACTCACACTGTGGTTGTTTGATGCGCTGAGTGTCATACTCCAAGCCCGAGCAATGATGTCCTTCCAAAGTTCATGCATCATCGTCACCCACACGATCGCCCAACATGGCGCCGTGGAAACTTCGCTTGAGTCTCTGAGCTTTATGAGGAATAAGATGGATCTGAAATGGTGCCGGGAGCTGTTAAGCGTGGCGCTTCGCACTAGCCGAGGCCTGCATGCATAGCCACCGTCAGCAAATGAAGATTTCAGATGCAGTCGGCGACAATGGTGCATCCACCATCTTTACAGTTCCATGGATTCAAAAGGAGACATCTCGACTGAGCGTCCCGCAGTAGAGGCGAGGGAAGAAGTACATCTCGGACGAGAAGATTTGCCTACACAGATGTTGCCAGTTCTAGACGACCTGCGTCACCTCATCTGTGAAAGGTGTGCAAGAATCGATATCGAATCACTCGGGCGCGAACAGACGTGGAGACCTGAGCGAGGTAATTTTGTTACCGAACTTGGGACCACCGCAGAGCTTGCCTCGTCGCTATGTCCCCTCTGTCGGCTGCTCGCAACCATCAGCCCTTCTCAAGATGAGCTCACACAACATGACCCTGTCCATCTTCGAAGCTTTTCTGCTCGCCGCGAGTTTTCTGGTATATCCACGTTCGTGTGGATGTCAGAAGACTCGACGCTGTTAGGCGTACTATCTAATCCAAACGATGAGTTCGAACAAGAGGGGGTTCTCGATCCAGTTGATCCACGCTTGGTTGCTAGCCTTCGCGATACAGGGCCTGTTATTCATCACAGGTCCGCCTAATAAACGGCCGCAAAGTTGCTCGGTGCGGTCTCTGGACCCAGACAATTTCGATATCGAGATCGCGCGGCAATGGCAAAGATACTGCTACCAGCATCATACCCTGACTTGTCTGAGTATGACGCAGCCACAGCCTCGTTCCTTGAGCCTGATCGATTGCAGGACACGCCGAATCGTTCAGCCTCGATCTTGGGTGAGTTATGCAGCACTCTCCTATGTGTGGGGTGCACGAAGTTCAAACCATTCGCTGGACCCAAGTGAGACAAAGAACATGCTCCATCATCTCCCTAAGACTATCGAAGATAGTATAGAAGTTGCGACACGTCTAGATATATGGTACCTCTGGGTCGACAGATACTGCATCGATGAGGACAGCCCCAGCGACAAGCATGACCAGATTCAGCAAATGGACGCGATCTATAGGTCTGCAGCTTTGACGATCATTGCGGCTGCTGGAGAAGGACCAGATCACGGCCTGCCCGGAATCAACGGAACGACCAGGACAGCTCAACAAACTCTACGTCTAGGTGACTTCACTCTTGCCCAGACCCTATCTCATCCTTCCGTAGCGTTGTCTGCATCTGTCTGGGCGACGAGGGGATGGACTTATCAAGAAGGACTACTCTCGCGCCGCCGTCTTATCTTCACACCTGAGCAGGTTTTCTTCGAATGCGAGGGCATGCATTGTCGCGAAGCCGTCACAATCCCTCTAGACGATATGCATCTCGTAAGTAAGCAAAGATTCAAAGCAGATGCACCTTCCGGGTCTTTCGACGCCAAACGTCCTGGCCGGTATCCTCTCATGTACATGCGGCACGTGGCCGAATTCTACTTCAAACAACTATCTTACCCGAGCGATGCACTTAACGCCATGCATGGAATCTTCAAGTCCTTCCAGGAGCAACCTCCAAAGCGAGCCGTCTACAACATATGCGGCATACCGATTCTACCCGGAAGATTCCAGAGCTTTACGAGTCAAAGGCCGTTACATCCTTTCCTGACAAACCTATTCTGGTATCACACCGAGCCTGGACATCGCCGGCCAGAGTTTCCGAGTTGGTCTTGGGTCGGTTGGCACGGTGGCACAATATCGCCAGAGACCTTTGTGAAAAAGAACGAATCATATTCGAAGCTCAATGCTGATACATCTCTTTGGGTGGAAGAAAAGCCTGGCCTGCTACGCGAGTTTGCTGAACCCGTGGCTCCGAACACTTGGCTAGACTACCAAGACAGCCGCTTCCTTCACATCCAGACATGGATACTGGACTGCACAATTGTCAATATTGATGTCGCAGATCTGCCATCCTGGAAATCAAGCCCGGGACTTTACGCCCGATTTCAACTGGACGATGAGAGGATCGGCTGCGCAAGATTCCATCCATCAATCACCCCGACCGAGCTTCAACACTGCGACTCCACCGGGCAACCGAAGCAGTATCTCGGCCTGATCCTACCCTTTTCTCTAGCTGGCATGAACTACATCTACATGATCGAGCGATATGCTTCAGTACTAGTCGTAGAAGACAAAGGAGATTGCTACGAACGCGTGGGTGTCTTTCATCTCTACTCACACTTTGACAGCGGTACAGACGAGCAACGTGCGGATCTCAGCTTCTGTATGAGAGCCGATGGGAAACTCTCGAGCTTCAAGAACGTGGATAATGGTTGGGAGCGAGGTGCGAAGAGGCAGAAGCGCAAGATTCGCTTGGGCTAGTGGAAGGCTGCGTGATGCAGGGCTGAGGTATCAGTTTCGCTCACACCAGCGACAATTCTTCGGACATACGCACTACCTGCTTCATACCGGACTGTGCTCCGACCTTTCAAATTCCCAAACCAAGTCCCGAAGCATGATGATGTTTCAACATTATCCGTTTCGCGCAATGTTTGGCTAAGCTTCCACCATCAACCTTGACGTTTCACGCCAAACTTTACAAGCTTTCGGACGAACCTGTGGGCCTTGCGTTTGCCTTGAACTACAAACATGGGGAAATCACCGAATCCTTCTCACCAATACTTCAACGAATGAAAGAATGGCTGTAATTAATGATTAACGAGTGTGCGTACGTATCGTATCGTGAACGTGTACTTTTGGAACCAGCCAAAGAAGCAGATTAAAAATATTCTAAATCCAAGTACAGCAACCCAAATCCCATTCCATGCATTGTTCAAGCAAGTCCCAACTTCCCCGCACCAGCCTTCAAAGCTGCTGCACCTTTTCCAGCGCCGCCCGCACCGGCGAGAGCGGCTGCGCCTTTGCCAGCTCCGGCTTTGGCTGCTGCACCAGCTCCTGCCGCAGCTCCCTTTCCTGCACCAGCCTTAGCTGCTGCACCAGCTCCTGCCGCAGCTCCCTTTCCTGCACCAGCCTTAGCTGCTGCACCAGCTCCTGCCGCAGCTCCCTTTCCTGCACCAGCCTTAGCTGCTGCACCAGCTCCTGCTGCAGCTCCGGCGCCAGCGGCCTTTCCTCCTGCGGCGCCTTGGATGGCACTTAGGACACCTGAAGCAACGCCGGTTCCAGGGATGGCACCGACGATACCTGCAGCGATGTCAAGACCTTTGCCGCGCTTTTCGGTTGCTTCGTGACGCTTCTCTTCAGTCTCGTGGCGCTTCTCGCCAGCAATATGCCTGACCTCTTCGTGACGCTTCTCGGTAGCCTCGTGACGCTTCTCAGTTGCTTCGTGACGCTTCTCAGTTGCTTCGTGACGCTTCTCAGTAGCTTCATGCCTCTTCTCCCCCTGAACCTGCGTAACCTCCTCATGCCTCTCCCAAATCTCCACCATAGCCTCCCTCCTATTGTTCTTCCCCTTACCCAACGCCGCCAAAAGCCCCGCCGCCGTGCCACCCGCAGCCTTGCCCTTGCCCTTCGTTGCTGCCTTCGCCGCATCGCCCGCATTCGCGCCCAAAACACTCGCCGGCGTCGTGCCCGCAGCATTGTTGATCATCTGCCCGCCACTCACGCCGCCCTGGGGGCTAACGTTGTTCTTGGCTTTGGCTGCCTTGGCTGCGTATTGCTGCACGGCTTGGGCGTTGGGCGGGTTGATTACCATGACCATACCGGCCTGGCAATGCTGGGCTTGCGAGCAGTAGATGTACATGGGCTGGTTGTCCGTCACGGGGACCATGAACGTAGGTGTGTTGGCCTGGCGGCGGTTGTTCTTGCCGCCTTTGCGTGCGTTTCCACCTGCGCCTGCACCTGCGCCGCCAGCAGGGCCCGCGACGGGCTGGAAGTCGCTAAATATGGCGTTGCGCTCGGGCTGGCAAGGAGTGTTTGCGCCGGAAGACGCGATGCTGTGGTTCTGCGCGGCGAAGTTGAAGGCGATCATGTCGCCAGGCTGCGCGGTCATGGTGTTGGGCGTGAAGGTGAATTTGTTGTTGGCCGCGACGGTGACGGTCATGGTGGCTGCTGAGGCGGACCCAGCCGCGAGGAGGATGGTGGGGATAAGCATTTTGGGAAAGAATTTGAGAAGGTGGAATTAAGAAAGGGATTATTAATGGGAAAGAGGTAGAGAAATAGAAGTAGAAGTAGAAATAGAAGCGCAAGTGTTGTCGATGTAAACCACCCGGGCTTTTCGATATCGATATTAGCATGCCGCCGATCGCGACATATATACACCCTTCTAGCTCGCTCCCCTTCCCACATCTTGAACATTACCTCGGCCCCGAAAAGCAACGGCATATGAGACTCACGTTCAACGGAGATCTTGGTTCCTGAGACGTTGTTGGAGGACGATCTGTTTGACGCTCTGGCTGTCAGATTGTTTCATGCCAAGGAAAAGAAACACTCCGCGCGATTAAGCGGTCCAGAAACCGAATGTGCGCCCCACGGAACAGAAAAGCAGACACATCTCACGTGGAAGTGATTTCTCCGTCCTCGTCTAACATGTATATCTGTCAGTCAGTCGGAAGTGTGAGATGAACGTTAATCACGAGTGTGGCGTGATGGAGAACGATGGAAAATCAGACATCGATCGTCTTTGCTGAGTTCGAAGGCTCGGAATGAGGCTCGTGTTGGACTGTTGAACGGGTTGGTCCATCTGGGTCTCGGCACTGATCACTCTTCCCTTGTCTTTCAGACCAAACAGCTCGGCATTTACCATGTGCTCCTTACTCCACTCCATCGTCGTAGTCTGTCCCAGGTGGTCCCGTGATGGTGCGCACGCCCAGATCGATGATCACAGCTCCCAAGCATGTCGTCGCAGAGCTTGCATCGACTCGGTATCTGGTTTGCGCCCCCGTGCATTTGTCAAAACCGTTTGACGCGTTGACAGTAGGCGATACTTTAAGATGCATGCACATCTCGGCTCTCGATCCCTGGGACTACAACGCAAAGTAGGATCCCTGCTCGAACTACCAAAAGCATGACATTGCTCGGCATAATAATGGTTGAGTCGTTCGAACGCTGTTGCATTAAATGTTCTGGGTGAACTGGAAGCGCATGAACAATGTCGTCATGGGTTTTCATGATACTCCTGAATGCGAAAAGATTAATTGTTCTACAACCATGAGATGGCCACGTACGTATGTAGAAGCAGCCAGCCCCGCTCATGTCCTATCATACATATCAACATTATGCAAACATCCGTTCCACATCTCGTATCGACTACGCTTTGACGGTACTCCTCTTCATCTTCTTCCTGCTGTCCTTTTCGCGCTCCTTCTCAAGGTACTTGCGCTGCTCGTCTGCGCTCAGACGTCCCAGCTTGGCATCGCGCTGCTCGCGCTTGAGCTTGTCGGCGGCGATTTTCCTCTCCTCGGCCTTTTCTTCCTCGTCGACCTTGCGGATCTTGGCGATCTGCTCGTCACGTGTCTGCTTGATGCGACGGAGCGCTTCGGGGCGGAAGTGGGCGGCGGTAGCGAGGTGGTCTGGCAGGCGCAGGAAGTAGTTGAAGAGGGGCATGGTGGAGGTGTAGTCCGAGGCGAGCTTCAGGGAGAGGTTGATGCGCTTCTTGGGCTTGGTGTCGTCGAGACTGTGCTGGGTTAGCTAGAATTGTGAGCAAGGGGAGCAGATGTCTCACGTCTTCGGCTGGTCAATGGGCTGGTCGGTGATGATTAGCGCCTCGAAGTTGTCGCCTGCGTCGTGGATGGCCTTGATCAGCTCAGGGGCAAGAACAAGGTCGGTGATTTCGGCGCTCTCGCTCATGACAGCGGTCCAGATGGGCAGCTTGGCGTGGTCGCGGGTGGTGGTCAGAGACACGTCGTAGCGGTCCTCACGCATGCGCTTCATGATGTCCTTGTGCACAACGGCGAAGACGAAGCCGTCGAAGGAGCTGTTGGGCACCTTCTTGGCGTCTCCGGAGCCGTAGTTGGGGGCGTGCTTGGCCTCGTTGCCGTCGAATACGTAGGCGGTGGCCTCGACACGCTCGGTTGGGGCGGGGAAGCTCTCGAAGAATAGGGGGATCAGGTACTCGCCGAGCAGCATGAAGGGGTTGTAGCGCTTGACCAGGCTGATTTTGAAGTCGATGAAGGCGACATTCTGGCGCCCCGTCGCGTACGACTGGTGCTCGTCGGCCTTCTTCTCCTTCAGAATGTCGTCGGAAACCTCTCCCGCCTTGTATCCGACCTGGGCGAATTCCTGCTGCAACGAGGGCGCGTGTGCCTTGGCCCAGGCTCGCGCCTTGCTTCGGTTGGCGCGCGTGCCCCAGACGTGGGTGGCGATGAGGAGGAACAGGAAGGGCAGAATGTACATCTCCAGCTTGAAGTCCTCGGCTGACGTGCGCTCCCACACGCGGTACCAGGCCGTGTATGGCCGCGCACCGCCAATGGCGCCCGTGGGCTGAGCCATGTGCGCGGCATCGGTGAAGGAGGAGATGGCCGCTGGCGTGGGATCAGGAGCACCTGCGTAGTCGGCAAAGTCTGCTGAGGTTAGCTATGCGACGAAGCACGGCGGGCCTGAAGCCATTGAGGGTGGACGCGTACCATCGTCACCGACGACTGGCGCCTGGACGGGCTTCTGGCCGCCAAAGAGGTTCTTGACGAAATCGGCCATTGCTAATTGACCTCTTGTTGACGCTTTCGGGTGAGGTTGAGGACAGAGTCGCGCCGCAGTTCGTCGAAGGATCTCGGCGTGGGCACCGACCTCATTTTGGAACGCTAGCACGAATGTGGGGGGTAGCTCCAGCCGGGGAAGCCAGGAGATGGTTGCAAGGCTCACTGCTTTATGGGTGTACGAAGACAGCTTCTTGTGTCACATCTTCGAATTGAATGCGGATTAATTCATGTGCTCCAAGGTACTTGAAGGTACAATACGACCAGTCAAGCCCCGACAGCATGTCACTTATATTGAAACCAACGTCCACATGTTTCCGTTCCGACACTGCTGGCTCGCCATTGGATTGTCTACTCGGATTAGAAATGCTAGCTAGCAGCTTCACATGGTCATCAGATAGACGGTATTAGTATGACCTGCGGAGTAGTGCGGGACAAAACATGCATGCAACACCAGCACATCGTGTATGGCAAGCTGTCGATATGATTTGCTGTCTGCTGTCTATGCGGCGGGACAAAAGAAATGTGCTCAAAGGCCGGGTCCGTTTATGGTTTGTACATTGAAGCTGCCTGATGGTCTATCCATGGTGGCCTAGTGCGGATATATTATTCCTGCCTTCGAAGCCTAGTTCTTGCCAGCCCAAGTCTTGTGTCCCTAGATGCCTTGTTAGAAATGGTGAGAGCTTCGGACCCTAGTGGATGTAGCTGCTTACGAGAACCAGACGGACCATCATGTACATGCTGGCGCCGATGCTGGTGTAGAGGCCCAGCTTGTAGGCGGGAATCATCCACTTGCCACGGGCCTACGATTGTGATCAGTCAGCAATTCGCCCAAAAAGCCCCAGGTTCGATGCGCCGCTTCTCCGCGCAGACTGCTGGTCGTCTTCATGGTATTGCGACCACGTCATTCCCCGCCATCTGCCCAAGCTCTTCTGTAGAGGCTACGCACCTTCTCCCAAGTCCTCAGGCCATCGTGCTTCTGGAACTCGCGCTGGTAGTACGGTACACGGTTCTCGCGGTAGACCCAGCTGGTGACTGTCAGTGTCGAAGATCATGCAGAAAGACGGGGTCGCAGCCGTGGCCGTCGCAAGCCGAGCATCGCTGCGCGAACATGTCCATGGCTGCGAAATAGACGTACCCTGCCATTGTGAAGAGTGGAGATGTATCAGGGGACGTGTGCGGGTGCAATGGGTGGTTTGGTGCGTGATTCGGAGCGTGAAGTGAGGTCGAATGATGCCGCAAGAGAGTTGACTGCCAAGCAGACTAAGCCGTTTTCGGCCGCAACAATTCGCGACTTCTTCTTCGAGCTCGAGCTTCGGTGGCAGTAAATGGGCACCTGCTGCTTCCAATGGCTTGACTTCACTCTCTAACGCCACCCTGTTAATGCCACCGGCCCTGGACAGGCTCCTCGCCAGCCCGCCTGCCCTGCGACTTCTGCGCGCCATCGTCAATGGGCCCGAAGTGCCTGCAGCATGTTTGCCCGCCGCTTCCTGCTGCCACGCCAAAATCACGCACCGCCACTACGGAACCAGGAAAAGAGCTGTCCCGGCAAAATTGAAGTGGAGAAGATGGTACGAGACAAGCGAGGAACAAGCCAAGCGCGAGGCAATTCGTCAGCTTCTTGAGCATGACGGGCAGCATGTGCCCCAGGATGGAGACAAACTTGGAGCCGCAACACATGGGACAAAAGCTGGAGATGGCACTACTGGCGCTGCGGCATGGGCAGAGTCTCTGGCTCTCCGGGAACGCCAAGATGGGCTGAAAGGCGTCAAGGCCGTGTGGAAACTCATGCAGGACGCACAATACAACCTCCCATGCGACTTTACAGATCACGCCGACTTCCTCTGGGGAACCTTTGTCAAGCACCCCGACCTAGTAGTGGAAGTCGTAGAGCATGCCGCACAGCTACTCAAAGAGTCCAAGAAGACGTATGCTAGTCTCTATTCTCTGGTCATGAGCCATTGGCTTCCGCGAGAGCCCAGGAGGGCATTGGAGTACCATCGTATGCTCAAAGCGAGGCTAGAGCTCAAAGCCATTCCTTTGAAGGCAATTGTCCAACAGGGGAGATCAAGTTTCGGCCCTGCCGCGTATGAAGCATTGATGGAAATATACAAGAGCAGGAGGCGTCGAGATCTGTATGACGACGTGGTGCCAGCCCTCATTGAAAAAGGACATGTTCAATTGGCCCGCAAATGGCATAGACTCTGCACGTCTTGCGGAGACATACCCTCTGAACCCGTTGCGAAACATCCTGTCGTTCTTCTACTCACAGACGAAGCGTCCCTGCTCGCCAATCCTGACCCTGCCTTGAAAGATTCGATACGACAGCGCGAGAGGTACAACACAGAGCTCATGCAGCGTCTGCTGGGACGCGATGCTGCACCCGTGCGCTTCGAGGACTCTTTCTGCGCGCGAATGTTTGCAACCAAGACCTTCCCGCCCGAATCCGTCATAAGGGGACTTGCCATGGTAGGGGTCAACGAAATTGGCCCACAAGCTGTTTTAGCAATGGCCTCTCGAACAGAACCACTTCAAGATCTGCCACATATATTCGAAGAGCTTAGAGAAAATGGCATAGCGCTGCAAGGATGTGTCTATTCCCTTGCGATAGAGAAGTTCGCCACAGAGCGCTGGTGGAGTTTGGTCCGCAGTATGCTCGACAGCGACCAGCATCCAGATGTTTTTGGCGATGCGCAAGTGCAGAGGAAGCTGCTTGATTTCTACTTAGATCAGGAAGACCACATGCAAGCCCGGCGTACGCTTGCTATCCTGACGCTGTTCCACAGGGACTCCAGCCAAGAGTCGTGGAACCTCCTTTTGCAATTCCAGATCCGACGCACCGGACCAAAACATGTCACGGAAGTGCTCCAAGACATGCGCATCCGGGGCGTCATGCTCACCGCAGAGTCCATAGCCGCTATCAAGGGTCTCCTTCGTCGTCGCCAACGCGGTCGCAAACCTACCGCAGTACACGACGGATACGATGATCTGCGCTTCGTCGCGCGCAGCTTCATGAGCATCCTCGAGTTCGGCATGGCTCCCATCCCTCCCCGAACATGGCGCGAACTCATCCGACGCTTCGGCATGAGCGGTCGACTCCGCGAGCTTCGACGCCTGCTCCTATGGTTGTTATCCTGGTACGCCCCACGAAGCAGCCACCAATTCTCAACCCTCCCCTCATCCCCTTTCCTCGCCCGCGCAACCGAAACCCTCCAAGCCAAATTCCCCCAGCGCTCCCACTATTTCCACTTCCCCGGTACCACCACCCAACGCGAGCGATCAGATCATCCCATCCGCCAACTCTTCCCCCCACCCCTCCAACAGGCTTTCATCATTTGGGGCTTCCGCGCCGGTCTCCTTCCCAACGCGCCCCTCGAGCAGTCCCTCCTCGGCCCCACCCTGCGCAAGAAACACTACCGCCGTATGCTCATGCGCCACCTCATCCTCAAGCGCGAGTCCTGGAGCTCCGGCCTCCGCACGCTAGTCTTGCTGCGCGACCTTGGTGTTCGCGTACACTACCATACCGTGCTCAAGGCCCTGCAGATGCAATTCACAGTCCTCTTTGGCCGGGGGCACTCGCGAAAGTGGGAGAATCGTATCATGGAGGACGTTAATCCCATCCCGTATAGCACGTATGTCAAGGAGGTCAATGAGATTTGGGGGAGTAAGTTGCTTGTGGAGCCGGAGCTGTTTCAGAAGGGCATGGTGCATGATCATTTGTGGCATCCGAGGTTGAGGAGGAAAGTCGATCGAAGAGGGTTTGTGCGCTTGGATGGGTTGGTGAGGAGGGAGACGGGGGATGGTGCTGCAGTGAGGGATTTGGAGAAGACGTTTGAAGCGCAGGGCAAGGCGCTGGAGCCGGGGAGGGAGTGGATGTTCGAAGCGGATTTGAGCACAAGAGGGGTGGGAAAGAGTGGTCAGTGATACACGCAGCTCTATCCACCCAAATAAGCTCTTCAATCATAAAACACAATTACTCATGCAAAAACAGACTTTTAATTTCAATCCGCAAAATCGATCCAATACCACATATATGCAAATGCTAAAACCAAGCAAAAACTCTAGATGATAACATCCCGTCCCAATCCTCATCACCATCTCTAAACCCTCTCTTCTAACCCTTCCCCTCCAAAATCTTGCCCTGCCTCATCTCCACACCCTCCCCTATCTAACAACCTTCCTCTTCTCTCGCCTCCAGAATCTTCCCCTCCCCCTACCCTCTCACCTTCCTCTTCTCCCCCCTCCTCCTCCGCGGCGCCCTCGCCGCCTTCCTGTTCCAAATCCACCCCTCCCCCTTGGCGCCGGTGTAACTCGCGGCGCCGCCCTTCCTCCCCTCCCAGTGCAGCCAGAAACTCCGGACTGAAGGGCAGAGCATTGAAGCTCGGGGACGGAAGCACGGAACTGGCGGTTTGCGCGGGGGAAGCGAGGATGACTGTGTTGGAGGGAGCAGCGGGGAGGATGGGGGTGGGTTTGCGGAGGGGGGAGGGGCGCGGGCGGCGGAGGGGTCGTGGAGAAGGACGCGGACGCGGACGCGGGCGGGGACGAGGCCTGCGGGTGCGGGTGGAGGGGGATGGCGAGGCGGGCTGGATGGGGATGGGGATAGGGAGGGGGTTCTTTTGCTGTGGTGTGGATGCTTGTTCGTTCTGTTGTTGGCTGGCGACGAATGTATCTGGTGAGCCGGGTTGGGTGGCGTGATCACCTGCTGGACCCTCGGATGTGCCGTCGACCCAGACGACGTCGAACGTTGCAGATGGCGTTGGCGCGCTGGCGATATTTGGGGCCTGGGGATCAACGGGGCCTTGTTCGAGGGGGGCTGAATCCGAGCCTGTGGGAATCTTGGGCTGGCTTGACTGTGCACTAGGTTCACCACTTCCGTATCCTCCCTTCTCCAGCTCGTCTGCCATGGCTTTGATATGGCTCCAGTCGAAACTGTCCTCTCCCAGGCTCCAAGCCATGACGCCACCGAGTTTGTACTTGCGTACAATGTCGTCGAATTTGCGCGAGATGAGAGCGGGTGTATCCCATGTCCAGAACAGGTTGTTTTCAGTATCAAAGAAATACTGACCGCCCGCTCGGTTGTCCGTCATGCCGCCGGCAAGAGCAGATTGCCAGGAGCCAGCGACGTCAGGGTCGGTGCAGCCGGTGCCGAAGGCGTGTTGACAAGCACCGGAGCAGTGTTCGGGAGAGTTTCCGCAGTTGCCGTATTGGGAGCAGCAGCCTGATGAGCATTTTGTGCCTTTGTCTGGGCTGGATGAAAGGCAAGTGTAATTAGTGTATTGCAGAGCTCGAGTGGTGGGACAAGCTTACCCGCATGTACCATCGTAAGACACGGTCAAAGCTGACGCATCGACGGGCTTCATGTGTGAGGGCTCGAAAGTCCAGGCACCCGAGGTCAGCGTGTCCTTACCAGTGACTGGATCCTCCGCAAGGACGATGGGGCAGCCAAGTGGTGGGTTGGATGTGCAACCAGGTTTTGTCGTGAAGTATTTTGCATAGTATGCGAAGCCGACTGAACAATGGTCAGTCAAAGCGCACAGCTATAGAAAGATTGAATTACGGTTCAGCTTCTCTGGTGGAGCACCAATGGCGAGGTAACGCTCAATGGTGGCAGCAGAATCGACGACCGAGGAGTGGTGCTTTGTGACATTGTCACGACGGTTCATGAGGTCGTATGACATGACCTTGCAAAGTTTAGTTTCTGATCTCCTTGCAGGATGTTTGGGATTTACATTGATGAAGTCGACAGAGCGCCATATCTTCGGGCCAGTCTCTTTCGTGTAGGCAATCATGTCACCTATTCCAAGTCAGAAAACGAATCATCATGATTTATGTGACAGTACCCACCTTTCTTGCCAGGTACAGCAATCGAGAGAAGCTTGTTTCCAATCGCTGCACGGATCGCGGCCAGAAATTTGGGGTAGGCCTCGATTTGATAAGCCTTATCCGAGTTGAGTACTTCCTTGTAGTCACCGCCATTGCCACCAGGATATTCCCAATCGATATCTGAAGGTCATCAGTACGATGTTGTTAAAGTTTCAGCAACATCGTAGACTCACCAACCCCATCAGCACCGGTGTTTGTAAGCATGGTACCTACATCAGCAGCAAATTGGGCAATTGCGGCATCCGTCTTTGAAGCTTGGAGAAAACCAACATCATCACCCCACCCACCAACTGCGATCATGAGCTTTGCGCCTGGAAACTCTGAACGAATGGTCGAGATGGGAACTTTTGGCTGAAAAGAGGCAGTTGCGTTGGCCATGGCGAAAGCAATGACAACATGATCGATACCAGAACGATCTTTGGGGTTTGTTGGTCGGGTCGGATGCCATCTGAAGTTGGTGAGATTTGAAGAGATCATTTTTGAACCATAGTGTACTTACTCGTCAGCGTACATTACGAAGCGGGCAGTCACTGATGCTGCGAAGAGCAACGGTGATAGTAGGGAGGCACGCATTTTCGAAAGATGAAAGCCGTTCACCAGTCGGAAGAAGGGGAAGAGCGACGAAAGTCAAGAGAACGGCAAGACAATTGGACTAGATGAACCAAAGCAGTGTTTGACTCCGGGGAGTTGCCCTGCAGGTTACCGTGGCGAATGACGGGAGAACATTCCACAGTAAAGAAGAGTACGCGGCTACTGACAGTTGAAGAGCAAACACGGGAAATGAATAGGCAAGGTACGCTTAGCAGCATAGAAAACATGGTATGTATCTTTTGAGCGGTGAAGATGATTCGTTTCCAGCGTAGGACATTGGCAGGCACGACTGTCTTGCCTTGCATTCGCTACCCTAGATGGAGAAGAACCAGTACCCAGGTTGGACATTTTTTTTTATTGATTGGGAAAGTGCTGTACACTGTACGGGTCGTTTACCGTCGTCATACATCGCGACTCCAGACTGAGAAGAAGAACCTTCAATATTAGCATTGGTTTGAGTCAGTATGCGAGACAATGTCCAGCAGACAGCTGTCATTCGCGTGCTACTGCGACATTAACGGCGGATGTAGATGTGGTGGCGCGGCGGATGATGCGTTGCTGGAATGTAGCCTCCCATGGTTGTGTAACCGATTGTGGTTGTACACACCCTGGGCTTAATGCACAACGGTCGGTCATCAGTCCGTGATGGGAAGTACCAGGTTTGATCGTATGAGAGTTGCACGGCAGCTTGTCGATCGGCGTGAAGCGATTCGGTGGCTTACCGGCGCTGGAAACCGTTTCGTACTACCTCTATATGCAGGTACATCTGAGGACGGGCATCTACATTCGATCCGGGGTTGGGAAGCGGATTTGTTCGTCCTGGAACGTGTCGCAGAGATACATAGGAGATGATTCGGGCATGTTGATGTTCAAATTGGAAGACTACGCACTGAAAAGAACTACGAGAAGCGGAAATGGCAAGTGCCGCTAGAATCTATCCTATATGGGAAGGAACCACTTGACCTGCACATGGTGGTTTGTTGTTGACGTCCCACAGCGACTGCTGGTTTGAGCGAAGCACTCACCTGCCCGAACGTTTTGCTGAAATGCCAGTCCTTAGCATTTGACGGCAGCCTTGCACGATTTCTACGTCTTTTCGCCTTTTTCACCTCGCGCGAATAGATATGAAGCCTCACATTTCTATGGAAGGACACTTCTTACGTCAGCTACTACCAGGAGCTGTCCTCGACTAAATTTTCGATAAATCGGTCTGGTCACGTCAAGCCAAGGGACCCTCGCAGTCGCAAATTGCTCCGCCAGCGTGTTTTTGGAAAGACATTGCAGGGCCTCAACGTCGTCGCTCCCGGGTCGCAATGATGCGCCTCTGCAAACGTCGAGCTCGTCAGTCGTAATTACATGCGCTAGACCTGGGTGCAGTCGCGACGCTGCATCAGTCTGCACGTCAGACTGCGGGCGCTGGCCGGCTAGGATAAGGCTCGACCGCCTACCAGTGCGTGTGGAACCACGGTTCGCTTGAGGCGTGGACCGTCGACGACATGAACGACCGCTGCCGGAGATGGCTCCCAGATGGCGCACCCAGACGGAGCACAGTCGCTGGAAGTCAATGGACAGGCGCCCAGCACGTGATAATCCGCGCGATCCGTTGGCGAGGTGACGATCGCCAAGGTTCCCCAGTCTGGAGCTATCGACAGCTCCTGCAGAGCTATGCAGCCAGCTTCGGCCAATGGCGACGCGCCTGAAAATTGGGAGGGCTGGGGAGAGGTTGGGAGCGCCTCGACGCAACGATTGCTGGCAAGACGGCATGGATCACCCTCAGCTGAAAGACGCGCGAACCATGGTCTGGCGTATGAGATGCATGGCACGCTCCAATTGCACGGCTCCACGAAGATGAGACGGCCCACTGTTCGTCAAGCTGCAGCAAGACGCGGAGCTCCCAGCCCAAGGCAATTTGGCCGCGACGGCGAGGCCATTGAGCTGCAATCGCCAGGCCAACAGCCGCACAGTGCTGCATTGCGCGTCAGGACATGCCTCGGTGCGAATGTGATCCGCCGTCGGAGGGCCCGCTCCATTGCGTCGTTCGATGAAGCGTCGAAGCATGCGAAAAGGGGGAGCTTGCAACCACGCTAGCTGCCCAATCACAACACGACTTAGGCCGCTCCCGGACAGCTCCCTCGACGCCCCAGCCATGCCCATGCTTGCACCGCAGCCAAACGGCCTCACAACAGAGTTCCCGCTGACCGCCAATCTACTTGATCCCCTCGTCTCGCCGCACTGCTCCCTCTCTCCTCCACCCCCGCTACTGCACCCAATTGCATCTCACACGTCACATCTTTCCGCTGGCCACCCTTCAGCACCTCTTACTCCAACACATCTCCCCGTGAGACCCTAAAGGAGCCAAGAAGTTCTTTCTTGATTCCTTTCGAATTGTTTTCGAACGGTTCGAAGGGTTTTCAAGAACGAGCGACCCGACTCCGACAAACTGGATTTTGAAGCACGAGTCCGTCTCGCCCGAGCGCAGTTGTGACCCAAGAGCGCGCGCTGACAGCGAACAGGTTCCGATCCCCTTCAGTGTCTTCCCGTCTGCGTATCGGAACGCGGAAGTTAAGGAATCTACCAGTGTCAAGGTAGAAGGCGAAGCAAAGGTCTCGCAACAGGCAGTACACGGAGGGGAAGGTCACGAAGAGACACACGAATCCTTCACAGCCACCGTCCGCCAACCTCAACCTCAACCTCACCCTCACCCTCAACCTCACCCACACCCCCAAGAACCTGCCCACCGCGACACTTACGTCAAGGAGGAGATCCACATCACTGAGCAAGAGCGTCTTCGCCGTCCTCAGCCGCCCCAGCACCACGAGGAAGTTCATATCCACGAACAGACTCGCTACAGGCAGCCCGAGCAACCTCAGCAGGTTCAGCCACCCCAGCACCAGCAGCAGCATCGCCACGAGCACCGTCAGGAGCACGTAGAATTCCAGTCCGCGCGCGACCGGTACAATACGCCCCGATGCCTGAATCATTTCCGTTATTGTTTTGCC